TATAGCCCGACAACCTATATAATTAAAAATTTGTTTTGAACACCAATTTATTTTTTAAAAAAATAATAACTATACAGATAAATAACCGGGAGATGGAGTCAAAAACGTTTCCATTAATAAAAAAAAAATGAATTGCTATAAATTGTGTGGTACAAAAAAGACTAAAATAATCAGATTTTTATGTATCACAAAAAAATATGGAATATCTTTTATAATATGCCTATTATAGTTCGTTCATAAATACCATTAAATAAGTACCTTGAAATGTTCTGTCGATAAGTCTATTTTTATGAAGATTGGTTGCCACGAATTTGAATATTTATGAATATAATAGGTTTATGAATTACATAATATTATGCTATTAAATATTAGTTATTATACATGCTTATATCATTTAGCATTCTAAAATGTAATATTTTATGGTATAACATATATTTAATTTACAATTCAACAACTATGAAATTCAAAAATACAATTATTTTAATTGAGATAGAGTTGATAATCAATAATGTGACTATAAATCTACTTCAAAATACATTATTTTAGGACCACTTTCACGTACTACAGTAAATATAATTTTAATTGGTCTAAAACTTGAGACGGTATTGAAGATGGTAAATAAAACCAATGAAAATTGCGAATATATCAACACATAGGTAACCGAGAAAAAGACGGAAAATGAAATCTTCAGTTTAGCTAAGGTGGCTTTCATAAGATAAATGAATTCCACCTAACTCACGTGTGTTGTTGTGCAGACGTGTAGTGTAATATTGAGAAATAATTACAGCAAAGCGTGTATCTAGAAAACAAAAACTGAAAAAAACTTGAAAAAAAAACAATTTTTTCAAGTGAATTAATTTTAAATTCATCATTTAAAATAAATAATCATTTGCACAAAATATTCATGTTAACATTTATAAATGAAATAAATGATAATATAGTAAGCTCTTTTGGTCAGAGAATACCAACGTATACCAACTAATATGTCATAATTTCGATTTTTCCTATACATAAATATATGTGCATAAAATTCAGATACTCAACGGTCCGTGCATGAAACAATGAACACTGGATTTTAAGGGAAGCAATTTATTATTCTACTGTGTATATAATTATGGTTATGTAATTTTGATTAAATAAAATATAGCAATATAGGTAGTTATAATAAAACGGTGGTAGAAAATACTATTTACTACTTTTAATGAAAATGTATAAATATTCATCAGCGTTTCCTTTTGGCTTTTTCAAGGTTAGGTAATTTGACAATATTTGTTGTAGTAGAATACAAATTAACAAATTGAAAAGAAGGGGAGTACGGGGGCTAAGCGGTGAAAGAATATGGGCGTACCCGGCTCAATAGTCCATAAATTTCAATTCAGATAATAATTATACTACTACTTGATATGATTATTAGATTACCTTTTAGTTTATATACCGATGTTATAATTAGAGAATATTAAATCCACTTACCTTGTATTGATGTGGATCCTTGTTGTGGTGGTGGTAACGTCTCTGGTAGGTGTGGGTTGATGCGCGTTACTATTACTCTACGATTTTTACGATACTATGTTCCTTTCTCTAAATACAGTGCGTTTACTCTTAGCCTTTATGGTGGAATGTAACCACGGTTATTTTTCTTACTTTAATTACGCTTAGAAAACTTTAATGCAGTGGATGGGATCGGAATTAAGGAATAGAATATTAGTCACTATGATTATTTTCTTTTATTATTTGCACTCTGTGTTCATGTTGGTGTTAGAACACCTTTATAGTGATTTATTTGTCTACTGTGGTCAACGCAGTGCTTTGAGTTTAGCCCTTGATTTTGCCTATATATTTGAGGTTCGGTTTTCTTAAGAGACAAGGAATCACTTGTGGCGTAGTTCCACCTGTTCCAGACTCCTATAGTCGAAAACGTAAAAACTGCAAATATACTTTGATAGCCCAAGGTCCGTTATGAACAATGAGATATCAAGCGGCGCCTAGTATGTTTGTTTTTTTTATTATTATTAGCTTTCGCCTATATATTTGTAGTTCGGTTTTCTTAAGAGACAAGGAATCACTTGTGGCGTAGTTCCACCTGTTCCAGACTCCTATAATCGAAAACGTAAAACTGCAAATATACTTTGATAGCCCAAGGTCCGTTATGAACAATGAGATATCAAGCGGCGCCTAGTGTGTTTGTTTTTATATATATTATTATTAGCTTTCGCCTATATATTTGTAGTTCGGTTTTCTTAAGAGACAAGGAATCACTTGTGGCGTAGTTCCACCTGTTCCAGACTCCTATAATCGAAAACGTAAAACTGCAAATATACTTTGATAGCCCAAGGTCCGTTATGAACAATGAGATATCAAGCGGCGCCTAGTGTGTTTGTTTTTATATATATTATTATTAGCTTTCGCCTATATATTTGTAGTTCGGTTTTCTTAAGAGACAAGGAATCACTTGTGGCGTAGTTCCACCTGTTCCAGACTCCTATAATCGAAAACGTAAAACTGCAAATATACTTTGATAGCCCAAGGTCCGTTATGAACAATGAGATATCAAGCGGCGCCTAGTATTGGTCGGGTGCCTATAATAGTGACTAAATGGATCGATTTATTGGGAATATTTCATCTGAATCCCTAGCCTTTTAATTTGGGAAGAATTGTAAGACGATTTTAATTAAAGATCTCTAAGGCAGTGCAATAAATTTAAACAAGTTTTTAATGGCGAAATAATGGGGAGAATAAACTAATATGAATTCATACCTGGTGTCAGAATAAACGCAATAATTTAATTGATTTCATCAAAATAAAGAAAGAAATTAAATCAAAACGAAATTCACGTTTTCTTGAGAAGAGCTGCGTGGACGTGGTGTGCCTTGTTGATTGTGATGATGCACTGCGCCGACACAGTGCATCGTGTGATGCTGCTGCTGGATCCGACGAGCGTGAAGAATAGAGCGAGAGTGAGCGCCGCTGTTGTTAGCGCGTTGTGTATATATATGAGGTCGATTGTTTTATCCCCACTTAATAGTCGTCGCGTTGCCATAGACTGGTTGCGTTTGCCACGTGAATCAGGCTTTCAAATGCCTCTGTTGTTGGATATTGTCGTTGGTCTTTGCATTTGTTACTTTATTTGCAAAGATATGTCTAGCCATGACATGTACCCCTATGTGTTGTCATTTTCCTTAACTTACGTGACATTTTTTTAGCAATGATATTATGAACGGGCGTTGAAATATTGTGTGTATGTGGAGTACGTGCCTTTATTGAAGTAGAATTAAAATGACTGTTATTATGTCTTCCGTGCATATTTTAATGTGCATAGATTCTTGTAAGTTGCCTTTTGGTGAAGTTATATGTGGTATACCTTATTGGCGGCATAAATGTTCATTATGCAACACTTAGCCACTTGGCCTTTGACATGATATTGTATTGTTGCTCTGGATTCTGTTGTGTGTTTCTGCCCGTGCAGAAATTAATATTAAATTGTATATGTACTTGATATGATTTGATGGGCCTTTGAGTGAGCATGTGCAATGTTGGTTACGTCATAACGTGTTGTTGTTCGATATCTTGTTATTGATTAATTCTGTTTATACGAAGACTGAAGGCGTTCACCAGAAACGGTAATTGATATGATTTGATAGGCTTTTGAGTGAGTCATAACGTGTTGTTGTTGTTTGATATCTTATCAGTGATTAATTTCATTTATACCCAAATATGGATATATTTTTTTAATGAGCGTCTGTCTGGGAATTTTAATGACTTCCTGTTGTTTTCACGATTATATGATGATTTATTCGTTTTGAAATACCGATTGCTTAATAATAGTTTTACCACGTAGTATTTTAATTGCGTTTATTTTTCACACCAGAACATGTCTTCACCTAGCCTTTTCACCCCATACGTTTATTATAATATAAATTATAAATTATAAATTATAAAGCATATTATTTATATATTACAGTGGATATTTCCATTAGATATATGTATAATATCGTATGAAGCAAATAAGAGGAAAACGTATCCACAACAGCAGAACCTAGTAAAATAATTAATACTTATAATAGGTACCTATACAGCCCATAAATATATTTTAATGGTACTTATTCAGGATTATTTCGAGAATAATTTTGGTTGAAAAAGAGGTTAACTGCACTAACAATTGTATAAAAAAATCATCAAACTAAAACTAAGCATTCTTGTTCTAAAGAGAATCTAAAAATAATTTATACTGGTTGTTTACGTTAGACGGGTGATACAATATATACATCAGACTATGGCATACTTATGTATACTCAAATTATTTAGTATCCTTTAATGGTTAGCCATCTAGCATTTGTTATGTGTAACTGATAATAACTTCTTGGCGGTTTAATGTTGATGCAGTAGTTTACAGTGAATTTATAATTTTTCATTCTTCTATATTTTTTATATAGGTAATAAAAATATTTTCTCGAAGGTTCAACATTTTGTAATATTTCAGCTTGTATTAATGAATTATATCGTTGAAATATAATAACTACCTAACAAAACATTTTAATATAATGTACTTATAATATGTTGTACTTTGTATAAATAAACACCTAAACTCAATCAAATCATTTCATATACACAGTTTTATTCAATTATAATTCAGAACCAAGTATGTCCTCTAGGTCTAGCACCATTGAAAATATTTTCAAAGAAACCTGCAATGTCTAACTATTTAAATACTATTAATATAATAACTAATATCAACTACTTTATTGAGAGATACCATTATGTTAAGTCAATAGTTTAAAAAATCAAAGAATATTACAATTTGGTTATTATAATACATTTATATGTTGAACAGACTTAATCACCGTAGAACCGAGGTTCATCGTATATACAGCTTAAAATTAATCGAAAGATTTTAAAAATGTTATAGTGGTAATTGTATATTAAGTGGCAAAAATTTCGAACCTTTATAATAAAAAACAATTTGTATAATATGTATTTTTTTAATTTGTATGTTGCAGAAAGAAAAATGTAATCTGAACCTTTTATTACACGTTCAATCCTTAAGCATAGGATTTAGTTTTAACAACTGGTCAAGACATAGTCAACGACTAGATGCAGCGTTATGGTGCCATACTATTTATGCACAGTTAAACGCTGCAGAGAAAACGTACCTTTAGTTAGGTATTAAAATTGAAAACAATTTTTTAATTTTTAACCAGAAAATAATTTGACATTGTTCATGATTTTGAAATTTGATATAAAATGAGTTATAAAACAAAATGTTGTACATTAATACAACTTTAGTTACAGAAAAATAAATATAAAATTAATAAAACTGGGATCTAAACTCCAAACCAAACTTTGTCTCAACACTAAGCTCTTCAAAAGACTCATCACACCAGGGGTCGTGTCAAGCCAGATCAACAGCAATGAAAAACCATCATACGCCCATACAGCTTCCAAAAGAAACACCGCCTCAAACTCGGACAACCATGATTCAACAGTTCCGCAAGCTCCATCCCTAGCATCCTTCCTCGAAGAATTCAAATCACTAATAACCCCTCTCATTTCTCTTCTTACATCACTAATTACCAAATTGATCAGTCATAATGACAAACAATGCAACAAATATTATTCTCTGGAATGCAAATGGCTTATCCCAACATAAACATGAACTACATAATTTTTTTATTCAAAATAATATCCACACTCTAATCCTATAATCACCCAACTATCATCCAATCAAATTCCAGGTAATCCACCCAGGCGTCTGGAAAGGAACTGGTGTAGGGACCTACTCTCTCCTTAAATCGCTTCCCACGGGGTGTCGCCAATGGGCAACTTCCCCCTCCTGTAAATCAATTCCCATCATATTTACTTATTGTATAACTTGTAAATACAGATTGTAAATATTATGTTTTGTTCAATAAAAAAAAAAAAATTAATAAATGAAAATTTTGTATTTTTCTTAAGCAAATAAAAAGACCCAAATTCCAAAAATATAAATATATATTTACATATATAATAATTATTTATTTGATTTTCGTACAAATATATCATTTACATTTATGTAGATTTTTTAAAACATAAATAAATAATACTACCAGTACAAATATTTTTCTGATAAATTATAATGTAGTGAAAATGTTCCGATTCTTAAGGCATATTTAGTGATCTTTTAGAGCATCAATAAGTACCCTTAGTTACTATCCATTTGAAAATGCCATGAATCTATAACAGTATGTAATTATAACTGTTCATTATCAACATAAAATTAAGCATATACAGTAGATACAGTTCGTCTATCTGTGATTTCTTAGTAATATCTCAAAAGAAATTATAATTTAACAGTAATTAATTGCTCTAAAGTATTCAATTTCGGAATATCTATTTTTTTCTTATGTGATTATCAAAAATACCAACATTTAATTCAAGTATAAAAACTTATGTTATTATAAGTACAGAGTATTCACTTTATACGAATAGATGGACTGGACAAAAAAATATGTATGGTATAAAGAACATTTTTTAAAAATAATCTCGACCTTATATTTTCAACTGTAACATGTAAAAGGCGTGTCTCAATAACATATAATATGAATATACGTTACACATATGTATTTCTATGATTATCAACATTACATTATAATATCATTAATAATAAATAAATAATTTGAAATTTGATTATTATTGAAAAACAAGTAGTTCGATTACTAATTCCGTCAAATCAATTCCAATTTTTGAAACTTACTTAGTTATATGTACAATTTTTTTTCCTTTAAAATAATAGCAAGTCCAATGTCACTAATACGTAACTTCTTACACTGTTAACCTTATCTGTTATCTCACCATATAATTAGGTATAGGCACATCATAAACTTAATAATATGTTCATTTAGATTTATTGTATAGTTAAAATTAAAAAAAATATATATAATAATTTAACACGTAAATGTACATATTTCCTTTAATTATTGTCACAAGCAAACCTGCCGGTATTCATAAATCATAATGGCAGTTCAAAGGACTTACAAACGCATTGATGAGAAATATTCTTAATCATGGGGTTTAAAGTTATTTAATAATTATAATCGTTTTAAGAATATAAGTAAGTTAAGTAACTTTACCATTGTCGCGTTTCACGGTTTAATTATTTGTTGGTATAGTAATGCATTTTTAATTATACCTACCACTTTTTGCAACGTGCACCTACCATGGCTTAATCATTTATTTATTTGTTCATTTAATTATTCTACAGCTAAGAAAATAATGAATGTATAGAATATAAAGATTTAAACTTAACTGTACTCGTGTGATAAATTACTCAAAATTCAATCTTAGCGTGTCCAAAATAACACTGTCAGGCGGGCTGAAGGTGCATTCTCTTGATGTATTATTGAAGCTTTTTTTCATAGCATTAATTGTTGGCGAAATGGCGGATACTACTTGAGAAGAACAAGACATTTTAGCTGAAAATAACCTCACATAAGACGGGGAAGTGTTTTTTATATTGTTATGTTTCTGGTCGAACTATAAAGTTTTCTAAAAACGTTTAATACACTATAAGTCCAGGTGTTATGCATGAGTCGTTGGCTTATACCAATATTACAAAATCCTATATTTTTCCATACAGTACAGTTAAATAAATATGACTTGAAATTCATAAGGTCAATTTTTATTCTATTATAAATATAATTCTTCATATAATGAAAAAAAATGATCAATGTCTGTGTTAAATACAAAGATATGATTGCACTTGAAAAAAATATTAAGTAACTAGAAGTGTTTCTAGTACAACTACGAATCTCCTATTACAAACCAAGAAGATTAAAAAAAAAAACAAAAAATTATATTAATAAAATGAGTAGTGGTCACTTAAAAACCATAGATAAAACCAATAAGTAAAAATAAAAATTCAAAACAATCATTAAACATTAGAGAACATTTAAAAATGAAAACAGAGGCAAAGAGATATACAGGAATAGGATTTTGAAAACTAAAAACATTTAATTAATAAACAATTAAGATGTGTCAATTTGATGTTGTTATGTTGGACACTGTAGTATATTTCAAATAACTCAGTAGATGATTAAAGACAACAACAAAATACGGACAAAATTATTAAATACAATTGTTAAATATATTACTAAAATAATGGCCAAAAGACAATGAATTATGGATGATTTTGGATACAACATTTTGGATATTAGACGTTCGAAATTATATTACATAAATTCCAAGCCATTGATAAAAATAATGTGTTACCATATAAGAAGAACACATTATAATACAATATATTAAAGATTTATTAAGGTAGAATTGAAAGCATAAAGGTCCTTATGTGCGTGGACCCTAGTAAGGTGGTACCCTACCCAAAAAAAAAACAACTAAAAACGTAATGACTTCGTAACTTAAGAATCTTTTAAAATGAAATATTATACTCTTCACTACTTACACTAGTCACAAGCTTGAAGCAATTCAAGTATTCAAAAGTACAGCAATGACATAAAAGTGAGAATGTTACTTGCGAGTTGCGATAACATTAAGGAAGATAAAATACTTATAAGAATTCAGAAGTTTATGAAATTTTAAATTTTTGACTTACCATTTTTAAATATATTCATGAAATCTACAAGTAATTTGTTAAATTGGTTAATTGACTAAACTATACACGCATGTCAATTATTGTAAATCGTTTAATTTAATCTTTTAAATTCTTATATTAATTTTGAAAAATAAGATGAAAATTTCTCAGCGCATTGGTTTTAATCTGTATTTTCGTAAAAATTTGAAATAAATATGTTTCTATACTTTTTAGATGTGTATTGGTTACAATATGAAGTATTTGTGAAAATTCTTGTGTTAAATTCGTGGCTATAAAAATTGAAAATTTGAACTTATAAAATAAAAAAAAATCGGACCGATGGACCTTTAATATTCTTTAACTGCTGTGTAACTGCTTATGAAGAATCTCGTATTGCATTTTCAAGCTCTTCCGCCCAACAATTTTTATTTCATTTACAAAATAAAAAACTAAAAACATTTCAAATTTCAAATGACTATAAATAACTCAAAACGAGTCGAAATATTTTTAAAATATTATCGTGTATAAAAAATGATGAAATAAACATTTAATAACAATTTTATATATCTATATTTTTTTTTAGAGTTACACTAAAAAACGAGTTCGATTTTCTGGTTTTAAAAATCTTAGTTTTTCCTTAATACACTCTTTTGAAAATTATTGGGAATACTTTACTTTTGACTTGCCAATGCATCAACTATATTCACCTTCCTACCAGTAAAGATGATGTTGAAGAAAAATTTTTAGTATCCCAAAATGTGATGACAGAAATAAATAAAGAAAAAAAATCACACATCAATGTAAAATCAGTACATTCACTCAGAATCAAAAAATATTTATTAAACCATAATTGTCAATACCTACAGTTCGTAATTTATTTAATTAATCAAATCACACGTAAATATTTAAACAACAGTTACGTACATAAAATAATTGAATATTACTTACCTAATATATTTTAAGCAAACACTGTTAATTGGATTAAATCTCCACCACCATTATCGTCCACTAATTAAAACAAAAATGGGTGGGATGCCTGGTATTCAAGAAGTATTCTTCAGCCTTCTTACCTATTCTCAAAAATAAAATATAAGATTTTATTATTGTCACTATTTCTCACTAATTGGTTTCATTTACACGAATTGGAATCAATCAGTCAGGCGGATATACACGTATTCTGTACAAAAGTATATAGTAAAATGCGTATAATATATAGCGAAAAATAATCAATTAATTTCAGTTAACTCAACGTCTTAACTATACTAATGAAATATGTTACTCGCACTATGCTCAAAGAATTGGTTAGCCGATGTGTACAGTGTACTGGCTATGTAAAAATTAATGTACATTATAGTAATAAACTAGTAAGTAATATTATAATTTTTATTTTAGTTTATCAGCGAAGCAATTAATGTATGCATTTTGCAATGATGTGTGTTATCGGTCATCTACTTTTGAGGCACTAAAAATACAGAGCATCTCTACTTCAGTATTTCATTTGGCAGGAAGTGATTCTAGTTAGTACTTTTAGCCGGTTAAAAGTAATAAATTCCCAGTAATTTTTAAAAGAATAGGGAAAAACAAAAATTTAAATTTAAAAAAAGCAAAATTTTTAGGCATTTTTCAACAAAATTGATTAAATTATTCAACTCAAAAATGAATAACCGCAGATACTATATATTTTTAACAAATATTAATATAAAATTGTCCATACAACGTAAAATTGTTAAAATATTTGACTGAGTTATTTATTACCTGATTTTTACATACACTATTTAATTATTAAAAATATAATTTATTATTATCACATACAAAACATTTAAAAAAGGCCATGGGAGGATGTACCACTCCCATCATCACTCTTTTGAACACCACTGCAACAGTGACATAGACACATGTGGAGAGCGTCTTATCGCAAGCCCCAAAACATTAATTTTATTAATATATAATAATAATTAATAGGCGAAGAAAGAATTTAATCCGACATGATTGTACGTTATTATATTGTTTTGCATTCTACACATTATATTATACTTGATATCTTATCTTTTTTTACTCTAACTGAGAACCATTTTTCCTGCTCCTGGCACTTACATATTTTTCATTTAAACTGTACGGCTCGCGGCTCTCTTATCGCTGGCCACCTCTCCTGTATCCGTTTACATAGACATTTTTGTGTTCATCATTATTAAACATCACATTGATTAACATAGGTTTTATTATAAACTTAATGGGTATATTATTATAGATTAATGATTAATGAATAATTACTTAAGGTATTATTCATATTATACAGAAATTCCAAAGTTTAAGGTAAAATCAAATAAGTTATTGATACAACAGGAGATAAATGGAAATTAAGAAGTATTTGACTACCTATACAGCTAATAAAAATTAGACAATAAAAAGCAAAGGAGTGGTCATGGCTCAAAATTATATCCGCACAATAGTTTTCACTATAATTACACTTATTACTAACACCCAAATTAGAATGACCTAAAAACTATTAAAAAATACTATAAAAAAATACCAAAAAATACCTTCAAAATTATATTTTAAGCTCCTTGAAAAATGACCCGACCTTTTTTTAACACATTTTGAGAGAACGAAAATGCGAATTTTGTGCAATAAACTCGATTACGATCTAAGATGTAACAGCAGATTACAGATTAGTTGTTACTACCTACCAGTTTAAGTTTCGGACGCACTACAGCCGTTAATCGCACTGTAAATAAGTAAAGACGTTATCTTAGCATCAAAATCATATAAGGACGATCGACAAATAAGAAATGGTTGGAACACAATTTCTTGACCTAATTAATATTTTGAAATTATCAATAAATTGTTATCTAAAGATTGATATAATGTATAAATATGCACTAAAAATAGTAAAATGACCTAAAAATTATAAAAAATGCATAATGAAAGTTTAAGTTTTCAATTCTCTGATGTATGAAACGGTTTTTGTACTTGATGAGAATTAACGAAAAATAATACATTTCGCATTACAATCAGGGCCCTATTTATTACTCTATTCAATAAAAAAAGTCAAGACTATTCAAACATCATTAAATATTGGCCTTTTATTCAAAGACTCACTTGTTCAATAAAAAAATCTTTACCGTGTCATATAATGGAGAGGACAAAAACAACAAAAACAACATTTTCGAATATAATATTGCAGAGCATACAATGAGAAAATCTTTTTTTAAATTTAATTTTAGCCGAACTACTATTAATTCCTGGTTTGATAACCCATAGACCACTATTATGTTTGAATATTTGTCAGAAAGCGTATAATATAGGTAACTCCGAAATGTAATCTAACATACCACTCGCAATTGTTATGGTATCATATAGCATCAGTATTATATTTTGAAATGACAAGGGACTAGAGGTATGGGACTACTTAAAAACGTTTACAACATTTGTGTTTATGTTTAAATTTTACATTTTGTTTAATTATTATAATCGAAGCAATTAATTTTCCATCGCAATTTATACAAAAACATATTTTAGTTGTTCCACAAGAGGTTATTGCATCGATCAGTTCCCATATTAAGTTGGCATGAGGACCAATGCACTTAACATTGCATCATTCTTGATTACATTGTTTTTCAATATTGTCTTGTGAAAAAACATGTTTTTTTTTACAATTTTGAAAATCCACTATTGTGGTGGACGCTATTAAGTGATATAATCATAGCAATAGTTATTTGTGCAAGGCATGCTTTAGGTACCAATAGTGTTGTTAAGTTATTTCACAAGACAATATTAGTAGGTATATTATTTATGATTAATAATGATACCTATAATAATATTAATATATTTTATTTTTTTATTTTTCATCGTAAGGTGTGTAGAACATATTTCTAGAATAACTCCTTACTCATTAAAATCATTAGTCATTACCTATAGTGCAATATAGCGTAGGTATTTGAAATTATGTCTTCATCAATTTAACATTGAGAATTTCAAAGAAATTAAACAAATTCGTGACTTACATGAAATCTTGTAAATATCGTGATGACCGCACAGAACGTGTTTTACTATAACTACAAAAAAATATTTTACTGATACTTATTTTAATTATTTGAAGATCAGTTTCATACAACTATGTAGTACCAATGTCGTTTTTAGATTATATCTACTCACATTTCCAATACCTAAAGAATAGGTACAACAATTCGCACATTAATTGACTACCATGCATAGTCACGTTTTCGTCCTAGATATTTAAAAAATAATAATAATAGGTAACAAATGTCTCTTAACGTTTAAAAAAAAAATTTATATTTAAATTTATATTTTAGAAATTTTAAGAACTTTTAAAACTAACACTTATTTTAATTGTAAAACCTCAATAATTAATTATTAATTATTAGTATAGGTATTCCAAAAAATCAAAAAAGGGTTGTAAATAATTTAAAAAGATTGGAAATTAAAGAGATAAACAATTTTATCATATTATAATATTACGCTGCGCCACTCATAAACCCACTTGTCAGCACGCCCCGGCCCTGCACCACACCCTCCCACCACTTCAACATGGCTTTGCACCCAAAACCCAACAATATTTTAGAGAAACTTAATAATATCAAAAATCTCTCAAGAAGAATAAAAATATTTTAAAAATGTAATCATTAATGGTAATTTTTCATACAAACATTTGTTGAAAGTTTAAAATATCTACTACTATTAGTTTTAAGTTATATAAAAAAAACTAACCCTATTTAGTCAAAAACTAGTTTGTATAAAAATCAACATTTTTCTTTAATTTTTTGGAATTTTTTCCCTCATCCGCGTTACAAAATTACAGGGACATTTTTAACTTTTGACTCTCCAAAGTATCAACTAGAATCACTTTCCTACCAGAAAAGATACCCTAGTGGAAAATTGAAGCATTTTTACTGTCCCAAAAGGTGATGACAAATGCAAAAACACGTAAAATCAATACATTCATCACTCATCCTCTCAGAATCTAATAAGAACATATAGTACGCGTAAGGTAATAGTTTTCAATAAAATAGTTTTTAATTATAAAATGATTAATGTTGTTCCGGTTCTAGATAATGGCATGTTAAATAGGTACATCGGCTTGCTATAGTTTCTACAGAACACGAGGGAAAATAAGTAAAATATCTACAACAAATAGAAAAAAAAACATATAAATGAACATTGTGATAAACTAATAATTATTGTATAGTGCATTGGACTTGGATGATAACAATAGTATACTGTGTCAATGTGTGTCCTTTGTTACTAATCAAAGGTCATTATTTACAATCACTGTCTAGAGTCTAGACGACAAAACATACGTCTCTTGTGTACGCGGTTTACGAATTCAAGATAATCGTGCAATCGTATAATCGATCCTAAATAAATAACGATAACGATATCGTCCATTTACTGTGTCATGGCTCGTCACATTTGATTTAAATAAATACATTTTTATGTAAATTAAATAATGGTATTTAATGCAGAATATGAAACATTATATAAGACACCTATATTATGTTGACTTACTCACTTTACTGAACCTACAGTGTGTATATAACGCTGTTTTATAAATTGCATACTTACCATTTTATTTTTTATTTTTTCGTGGCACTCATTGATACTTTACATGTCAAAATGTTTCAGTTATGTATAGTACACAAAACACGAAATTTTCTCAAAACAACTACATAAATAAACTGATGCCCATCGATACCTTATTAATTTCAAGGAAAGGTTTGGAATTTGAATTTTTGTTTAATCAGTGGTCAGTTGTCTAAATCAGTATAATATTAATTAATTATTGATCTATTCGTCGTCATGTTGGTCGATCATTCTATCCGCCAGTTCTTGAAGAGCCTGTCTAAAAACTTCTACGCTCACTTTGTCGTCGACACCATCACATTGGTACGCATTATCCCAGACAATATTGAAAATGTCATCTGGTAAGATCACTCCTAAATCTTGGAACAGTTTCTTCATTACGTCTTTACTACGTCCCTACATAAACATTAACCAATGTGTTATGTATTATACTTGAAAAACATACGATTAACTCAGTATTGTTAACCACAACTATATGTCATTATTATAATAATTACTATGTAAAAGTCTCTGTAAGTTAATCCATAGTTTGAAAATATTGTAGGGTTCAGTAACATTTTTACGTTCGTTTCGGACCCGAAACATTCCTGATAAGCTAAGACCATTGGCTTAACAGGTGTATAATCGCTAAGGTCTGAAATCAAAAATGTATAAAAACACTAACACATCTTTCCGACGTAAGTATTATTTCTCAGTACTTTTATTTAATTGAATTCCATGAGACAATGTATTTCCGTAATCATTTTTATATGTTGGAATGAATCTGTCGATATCTGTTCGGTTATTTTTCTTAAAACCACCCGAGAACTTAACTTTTGGATTGAGTAAATCCAGAAATAAATTATAGCTGACATTGTTGTCATTAATGGCATTAATAGAATTCAAGGCAAGATCGAACAATTTCTTTTCGGGCTTAATGTTGTGTTGGTAACAGGTTTTATACACTTGTTCCAGTGGCAGCCACCCCGTGAATTCCTAAGCATATCGAAAAGTTGTACAACACGTCCTTTCAAACGTCGTAAAATGTATTTCATATTATTTTCATCAAAATAAAGCGCAGTTTATTTTAGTGAGCGTAAAACTTAACACTATATTCATAGATACTAGATAGTAATTAATCCAGTTCATGTAAAATAAAAGCTTAATTTATCTATTTAAACTTGGATGGTGTATTACTGTATTTGTTATGTGCATAAGCGATTAAGCCATGACCTCGGAATTCACAGAAATATTATTAGCGTTTTAATTGTTTAAATTTACATTGCGATCGCCGTCCTCTACATTTAAAAAAATAATGTATACATTTACCCTAGTCTGTTATTTTCTTATTTTAAACAATAGAATCAAATTTCAATAATATTAATAATAACGAAATAGAATATGTGTATTGCAGCTTTTATACCTTATCAAACAGTTTAAATTTTTCATGCAATTCAATTAAATCGCATTTCTTTTCTTTTACATAATGTTTTAATCTACTGACTGCTGTTGAATAATCGATTGCCTCAAAATCTTTTTTGTCTGGTTCGTTTCTAGTTAAAACGTCTTGTGCTCTTAAATATGATCTGCCAGTAAATTTTCCTTGCCGGTTGTCGATATACGGATAACGGCATTTTGTGTTCTCTGAGTTCTCTTTACTATGTTAATGTCAGTTTATAATGGTTTTAAAGTAAAGTATTTAAAATGACTGAACTTTCTTATTAAAATAATTTACTATTGTATCATACCTTTCTAATAATTTACTAACATAATCAGTGAGCGTGTTTTTATTTACATTCGACGCTTTAGGTTGAACATTACTTTTGAACCACACACCTGGTGGTAACCATTTTAAAGGTTTGCCATACCGATAATCCGGATCAAAACTGTTTGTGTACCTAAATAATTCTATGAATAAACAAACCAGTTTTCAAGTCAAAATCGGATTAGCACTAACTTTCGATTTAACTGTTCACCAATTCCATACGCGTGATGAGAAATTTTATACAATTCTGTTTCTTTTTTGTCTTCACAATCATTTTTCGCAGGTGACTTATTCGGAAAAATCACATCACCAGCCGTCGATTTAGCTTTAATAAAAACAATTCCTTAGGTATTTATAAACAAAAAAATAATCTCATATACTCCTTGTTATAATGCCATGTATTGTATTTTTATCTAGGTGTTTGGGTAATAATGGATCGTTGAATTTTTTCTCCTGGACCATTGGACCATATTTAGTAGAACACTATAATAATATGTAAAGTCTTAAAAATGTTAATAATAAACTTTATATATTATACCAATTTAAACGAAAAATCTATTTTTAAGAAAACTCACACATGCAATGGCATCTGGCTCTAAACACTTTCCTTGCAACTGTGAATAATTCGAATCCATAATATATGTTTCATCTATACTAAATGGTTTCATATTTTCAATAGTTTTTAAAGAATGAATTCTAACTGAAGTTCATGAAATATGTTGCTAAGCGATTTTCAAATACTGTAGAACATCCATTATACAGACTAACCAGAACCTAAAAAAATATTATTCAGAATATCAAATACTTTGAATACCTGAATTTAATATTGATAAATACACACTTAATGTAAAAAATGAGATGACACAACATATGCCTACTTGAAATGATTTATAATAATGTAAATTTATAAATTATACATGAATTAAAAAAAATTAATTATTAGGTAAACATTAAAACTTAAAACATTTTATACGAATTCGATACATATTTTTACCAATCTTCCCCCACCTAGGTACCATAAATCTGAATTTTACATTTGTTGTTGGAAACAGTATTGGAGAAATTTCTAAATTCGTCAAAGTTATAATTGTTAGTGGTAATATTATGAAACACTTAACGTATCAATATTTAACATATTAGTTTTATAATATAGGTGTACACCGCACTCTGATAATCAAATCCACATTACAATATATAATTAATCTAATATCGTATTATTGTAATACAGTTTAAGTTTATAATATAACAACTGTAACCAAAAACAATTAGTAAAAATGTCATCTTTACTATAGACAGTACATAACATGAACCATCTTCAACTAAAGATATTATATACGCCATACGCGTTTGATAATTTGCATTCACTAAAATGCATGAATCAATATCAGGGAGGTTACTCAATCTTGCAATTACTACTTAAGAATTAATTTAGTTACAAAAAGTAAATAATTTATAGAAATCAAATAAAACCGTAACACTGAAGTACACATTATTCAAAAAACAAATGTGTTGACTTTATTACATTTATTATGACCACGCTAGAAATTGATAACATGAAACAGATTTATACGAGTACAACATCAAAATTTTCAACCACTTGATTCGTTAAAATAAAACTGTTAATAACCATGTTACCTACTTAAATTTATAATTATAGATTAATTATTAAACTTAATGATACAATATTTAGAACGAATAATTTTATATTTAACGGGTAATCCAGTAAAACGAATTAGTTATAATGTGCCTTTATTGAAGACTTTGTAAAGAAACGTTTGTATGTATGTACCTTTTTAACCTTTATATTATTTAAAATTATATTATTCAATATTCATAGTAACCTTTTTAACTATTATATTAACTTTATGGAGCTGATTTTTAGTTGGCTTCTTTTATTGGTTATATTTAAATGACATAGTGAATCAGATATGTTGACCTTAAATATTGGTTAGGTATCATATGCATTTTAATCACTAAAATTTGTTACATCAGGCAATATAATACTCAGAATGACTGTCTTAAATTCCTCATGATTAGATTTCTCCAGTTTCAGATTTAGAAAAATAAAAAGCTCAGTTATGATCAAATGTTTTTCATTTTCAGTTATGACTTTATTATTATTTGTTACATCGTTGTAGTATTTGATACATTTTCGTTAAGAACATCCTTACTACCTACTTATAACATTTGGAACTTTCTAAGTAACTGCAAAACAACGTAGGCCAAAATAGTAATATATGATGCAACTTAGTTAACATGATATTATTCTCAAAGCAGGCCTTAGGCAGGGGCCAGCGCCCATACCCTGCCTCGACCCTTCAGCATGTGTTTGAAATTTTAAGCCTCAAACTTCAGTTATAAAAAAATTTATTCTGATTACTAAAAAAAGTGCCCCAGGCCTTGATTAAATATTTGGATCAATATTTTTTATTACCAGTTTTATACAACTGATTATACTATCCTAGAAGAAATAATGGTATCTCAATGATATAGCAGGTAACTATTAGCTATCTACTACCTAATATAGACAAAAGTAATGTATAATATGAAATTAAACTTATTTTTTGTCATTCATTATATTTTTTACTTTGAGATAGCACATTTATATTGTTTCATTGTTTTTTGATTTGTGTGCAATGTTATACATTTAATTTTTCTAAATGAGATTGTAAAATACCTCATGGGGGATTTTTTTTTGATACTTCTATAGTTGACTAAAAATAGTTTTTAAGACTTCCAAAGTTTTTTTTTTTCATAGGATCCACTCGAGCAATTGCCTAGTTTCATAAATAGACTTGGTAGTCCTATATGTGCTTAATTGACCAATTCCCAATATTAAAAGTCATTTTCGGTAGAAAAATAATTTTTAGTAGAAAGTGTGTTATCTATTACATACCAAGATTTTTTCGGAACACAATAAGGTTTATTACCTATTTAGATATTCCTTAATTCTTAATAAAAAATGAATCGAATATAATTCACAATATAAAATTGCTTTTTTACCACGTTATTGTGGGATATTTTCGTTGGAATTCTCAATTCTTTAAGAGCTCATCTCACTCTTTTGGTATTATTGTCATCGTAATCATTATTTTTGCAAAGTTCTTTATAAAAGTCGGTGATTCCTTTCTGATTTTGTTACATGCGGTAGTTGCTCTTTCCTTTTATATCCTTCCTTCTAAAATCTCCTCATAATATTTTCTATACGAATTGGTCATGACCTTTCCCTCTACATGCAACTAAATTCGTAGAAAGTATATAACAGCATAAAATGTATAAGAATAGAATCAAATCAGCCAGACCTTTCGTGTTACATTTTCAAACGATATTAATTTATTTATTGATATTATCTGATATGAAAATGTTCATAACAGATATGATTCAATAATAATCAATAATTATTGGTATTGCAGATATTTAGTAATATCTACCACATAAAGGGTACATAAGTAATAATAACTTCAATACAAAAAGCAATACTCAAACGACTGTTGTGAACAATCCCAGTTCATAACACTATAATATTATAGGTCACTACTTATATAATCTTATAGATGTTCTTTTCTCGACGAAAGCACCATACAAAACGATAATATTATTTTATGTATTTATATAATTAGGTTGTCAATAATATAATTTATAATTTATGTTATAATTTATTGTCAAAATAAAAAAACCTACACGTCATATCGTAATGGAAATAAATTGGACCGAATATTAACAAATGTACTTGCTGTGGCTGTAATAATATTGTGTTTTAAAATAGTTTACAATAACATGGAATCAAAAATTTTACACATAAGTGTAATACGATAAACCTATTAAACTCAACATAAAATTAATCAATGTTTTGTTTTACATGTGGAGTACGGTACACGTAACGTGCCGTTTCGAATCCAGGCCGCGCGGTTTACTGTTAGGTACGAATTGCTCTGACTATATAGTCATAATATAATATATGTCGGTGGCATTGAACAAAATTATTTTTTCGTGTCAAGTGGTCCACCATACAGTATCCGAACTACAGTGAAAGCCAATGTAAAATATGTCTACACGTACAGAAAAAATGACTATAATGCTACGCCTACTGTTCTCGACGAACGGATCATTCCAAATGATAATATTAAATTACATAATATTTATGTCATTAGCCGATGATATGATTTATAATTTTATACATCATGTCTTAAAATATTTAAAAAAAAAACGAACACCACGCGCTCCGTAATGGAAATATCAACAAGTGTGCCCGTCGCAGCTGTGATAATATTATGACGTATTAATATTAATGATATTGTTATGGAATTTAAAGTTCTGCACATGGGTGAGCGTAACGCGACGTAGGTATTCAAAACATAGAAAAATCTATATTTTTTTTTTTTATACACTCTGAGTGACGCGCTGAAACGAATCCTGGCGTGGAGATGTACTGATATATTATCATGAATTGCTCCGACTGCACCGTCGTCGGCGGCATTGAACAAAATTATTTTTTTCGTAATAAGTGGTCCCCCATCACACTGCAGTATCCGATCTACGGCTTACGCACTTGTATAATGTTTACGCATACAGAAAAAGCGACGGCGCGTAGGAGACGGTTTAGAATGTTGTCCGATTGTAATATAACAATATTCAGTGTTTTTTTATTATTATTATTTTCGTTGGTGGGGTACCATCGGCTAACGTCCTGTATCAATAGCGACTTGTTTAGTGCCCACCGCCGACGTTCGTTTCAGTCGTGCGGAGAGTACCGTGTACGTGATACCGTGGTTGTGTGTGTACGCGAGCTCGGGCGTGTGTGTATGTGTGTGTGTGTGTGCTTGTTCAATGTGCTCATTCTGAACCGCCTACAGTAAGTACATTTCAATTTTCCACACCTAAATAAACGAAGTTTGGGCGTACTAAATAGTCGCAGATAATTGTAACATCATATAAATAGAATATTATAAAAATATGTGCTAACTACCTATTGACTATAATGTGACAGAATTATAGTGCGACAACGTCTCAAATATATTATATTTGTACGGACACTGTAAAACCTAGAATGCAAAAGTAAAATCCTTTAAAACAATAAGTAACAATTTCATTTTTTATTATAATAATATCGATTAGCATTGTTTGAATAAGTTTACATAGTTTGAAACAAATTATTCATTGTACACAACTAAATATGACACAGGTCATAATACGAAATATTGAGTACATTTTAACTAAAATTGGCACAGTTAATAGTTGTCTACATACAGTTGTATACAATATACATCACTATTATACTTACATAGGATTGTTTCGTAAAATCAATTAATTTAAATAATCTTTCTATCTATATACCATTGGTCTTAATTAAAACTACTTTTTATAATCAATATTATAAATAATAGTTAGTAGATTTACATTTGTACGTGCAATCTATAGTATAAAGCAACATGAAATATTTTATTTATGATACAAATTATTTAGTTTTTATAGCAGAGAAATTATGTTATTTTATGTAGTCACCTATTTTATTATACACATAGATTAACAGGTTATTATTATTTTATCTGCTTAACGCCAAATTAAATTGATTATCCAATATATTTTGAGCATCTAATTAAATGTTTGGACTACTTACGGTGCCAACTAATATATAATAATGTATTATTAATTAAAATAATCCTAACTGTATATCTTACGTTTCATAGAAATGAAGTATGTACTTCATTGTTAATAAAATAAACAATATTATTTTAGAACCAATATAAATATTGTTAAGTTATTATTTTATAATAATCGTCAATATTGTTAGTAATTTTTATTTAACTTTACTATAGAAAGCTTACTGGCAACACTATATTATATTATTTTTTTTTAATCAAATTATTTCATAACACTCACATAAAATATGATGGTATTTATGTCTTAAAATAATATGCAGTATCATAATTTTGGAGTTGAGACGTATTAATACTAATAACTAAATAAAAAAAAAAAGTTATAGACTAAAGTTACAGCAAAATGTTAAAAAAAAAATATGTACAATCTTCATTTTCTGACGTAATGCATACCTAATCCGAATGCTTCTGTAGTAATTTATAAATAGCGTTTCATTACATCACCTATATTGATTTTTTTTGTAATTATTAAGACTACTTCTAAAAAACAACGAACAAACATAATACATTTTAATAATAAAAAATAATTTGATCGATAAAATGTTTAATTAAAACTTAAATATATAATTTTACGTTTTCTTTAAAATATATATTTTACAGGTAGAAATGTACATACATTTTGATTTAGTTCAATGTTATCATTATTGGTATAATATATATATAATGAATCGATACTTCATTTATTTTGTCCGTTGTGGCAATGGAATGCATTTCCATGGATACAAATGGGCAACGAAATGATTGTCATTATGTCATATGACTATAATTAAGACCCGAGGCAGTTATATTAATTTTACTGTCGCCTAATAATTTGTGTACAAATAAAATAAAATTTGTGCATTTAGGTTCATTTCGCCATTATTTCATGAAATATAAATTGATATCTGTTTGCACTAACTACTAAACAATAACACTAAATAATTTAATACTCATTTATAGCTAACCTATGGTGTCATGTACCTGTCATATTGATTGGCTGATTGCCCTGACAATATTCATTGGAATAATATCTATCAGGTCACATTAAAACAGGTATATTGAAGCAATATTTTTGGTAGATACAAATTATACATAATACACTACCTAATTGCTTCTATTTATATTTAGGTCTGAAAAAAAATTCAAACCTAAAAATGGAAGACGTCGAGTTAAAAAATGTGTGTTCAATTGGATCAAACGATCAACTTCTCAAAGCCGTCCAATCAAACGATTTAGATTTATTCAAAAAACTCCTAGAAATAGGGTTGGGAAATTCATCTGTAGACTTGGATAATATATTTGACGAACCTTATCATGGCACAATATTAGATATATGTTGTATATCAACGGGTAGATCAGAATTCATCAGAATACTATTATCGGTAGGAGTAGACGTAAACGTTATTAATAAAAATCGGAAAAAGGCTCCGATACATTTAGCGGCTGCGAATGGATGTAAAGACGCATTAGATGTATTATTGGAACATCCTCCAACCAATATAAATTTATTAGATAGTGATGGGAATTCGGCTTTACACCTTGCAGCAAAATCTGGAAGTGTAGAATGCACAGAATTGCTATTGAATTCGAATAATATAAAAGCAAATCAATTGAATAGGAAAGGCTTTACTCCAGCATACTTGGCCGCTACTTCGAAGAAAAAAAATGATCAACTAATGATAGCATTTATTAGGTAAGTACGTAAAAAATAACCTCTAAATAATGTATTGAAATGTTTTTTTTATAGATGTCCAAAAGTTGACTTGGATTTGTTCATTTGGGATAAATCACTAAGAAGTGTGATATATGAGAAATATCCACATCTCACGGAAGAAATGCCACCAGAAGGTACAAGAACTATTACGGACCACTGCGATAACCCGTTTGTATACCTCTACTCAAATGACATAGAAGGATTTATTTCATACATAACTTCCACAAAACAACTTGACCTTAACAATCATGATGGAAGGCACACTTATCTTCAATATGCATGTGATTTCGGTTTACCAAAAGTTGTTGAAATTTTACTCAATCTTGATGTAGATCCAAATGGTATATGTCCTTCTAATACTAAATATGCAATTTTTATTGCATCGTTTAGAGGTTTTGCAGATATTATACAATTGTTTTTGAATAGTAAAAAATGTATATGTTATCAAACAAGTAACGGCACAGCACTTCTTGAAGTAATTAAAGGTTCTGATGAAAACCACAACTCATTAGATGTAAATACTGAATTATGTGACCATGATAGGTCATTTAAAATGTTACTAAAAAAAAGTGTAACCAATCCTTTTGAACTAGATATTAATCAATCAGATGATAAAGGTAATACTTGTCTACATTACGCAGCAAAAATTGGTGATCGAGATTCCATATTGTTGTTGTTGGAGAATGGTGCTTATATAGGGAAAAGAAACGTTCTTGGAGATCCTCCACTTGCTGATATCAGTCCTAATATATTAGAATCTCATTTGAATAAATGCATCAAATCAAACGGAAAATCTCCAAAAGATATTAACTACGAAATTATATGTTCATACAACTTTTTATGCCCCCCAAAGATTTACAAGCAGAAAGATATTGATAATTATCAATCACAATTAGAAGGTCTAGAGTACATTCCCGAAAATATCCCAGAAACCGATCCATTGTTATATATAAGTGAAGTTCCAGAACTCAGGCCTCTTCTAAAACATCCTGTATTAACTAGCTTCTTGCATTTAAAATGGTTTGCAATAAAAAGATATTATAAAGTGAATTTAGCGTTTTATATAGGATTCTGGGCACTTTTAACCATTTACACGCTGTTAACTTTTAAAATAGGTGTTCAAAATAGTAATTTATCACTCACTCAAGATAATATTACTGAATTCTCCACGAACAGTGTGCCATTTAGCAGTGATACGGCTGTTTATTTGTGGGTTATGGTATTTGGATTCCTTATTGCTTTAATATTTCGTGAATTATTCCAGTTGATCTCATCTCCGATTACGTACATAATGAGCTTAGAAAACTGGTTGGAAATAAGTCTCATTGTTTTGACTTCAATTTTATTATTGTGTGAAATGTCTTGTATATCAAATAGAAACCAAATATCTGCCATTGTCATTCTACTTTCTTGGGGTGAACTTATCCTTCTCGTCGGTAGACATCCAGCGCTTGCCACCCACCTAGAGATGTTTAAGCGAGTTACTAAAAACTTTTTACAATTTTTAGTATGGTATTCTATATTAATAATAGCATTTGCCTTAAGTTTTTATATGTTATTTAGAAATGACGCAGACACCGATAACAAATTTAACGATCCCAGCTCAGCGACATTCAAAACTATAGTCATGTTGACTGGAGAATTTGATACATTTGGTTCATTGCCTTTTAGTTTGCATCCAATAGTTAGTCATGCGTTATTTCTTTTATTTATATTCCTCATCGCCATTGTCTTAGTAAATCTTTTAAATGGTCTTGCTGTGAGTGACACCCAAGCAATTAGAGCTGATGCGGAAATCGTTGCTCACGTATCCCGGGTTAAACTTATACATTACTTTGAAAAAATGGCACTAGGTGACCCGTTTTCGTGGATTCATAAAGCTCAAAACCACATAAATAATTTTGGATACAGTATCCCTTCTTTATGTACAAGACGATTTTATCTGAAAATAAGGCTATTTCCAGATGCTCTACAAGATTCGGAAATAAAAATATTAACTAATCAGAGAAATTTTGTCGACTTTGGGTCATCTACAAAAAAAAGTCAAATAGGATGTATTGCGAATTGTCAAGGTTATTATCTCGAGAAAGAAATTGTCAATGAGGCTAAGGCAATAATTAATTTGAATTTAGAGGGAGCAGACAAAAGTTGTATGGAAATTCTTGATGTATTTATTAAGAAATTTAATACCGTAGAAAAATCAGTAGAAGAAATTAAAAAAATGTTAAATGCACTAAACACAAGAAGTGAAATAGATTCAATATCTTCGTCTAGTCATACTCCTGTATTAAATGGATCATACAAAAGCTAAAAAAAAATTATTTCGAATGTTATAATGGTTCACGTTTTATTATTTGCGGTCAAAATAGTAATACATTTTATTATTAGTAGTAGTAGGTAATACATGTTCACGTAGTTCACGTTTTAATGTAGGTATGCGATTTTCCTTAACACATTAAATATAAAATCAAAATCATGCAAACATGTTAAACACTTTGAAAACCATTCTATTAATACAATAAAACAATTCTAATGGAAAATGATTGTAAAACAATATTTCATTTTAATATTTATAATTTTGATGACAATAAGTTTTCATTATTTTCATATTTTATATTTTATAATAATAATATTAATCTTAACTATCATAATGCCTTAATCATTTTGTTAAATATTTAACTTTATATATACAAAAATTACTTTTTTATACATTTTTATAAGAGCAAAAACGTTGTATTTAAATAATTTTAAGTAGTTTTCGTAAACTGTGATTAATGTTGTTAACTGATTTATAGTATATTTATTAACTATTTCATAGTATATGCTTTTTTTATAACCTATTGTTATTAGACTCTTTAAATTAAATAAAATTATATTATGTTATTCTTTTAGCACTAAATGCAATTTAAATGGTTGAACTTTGGTGTTATCTTATTATTGTTTATATTCTTGTTGTTCAACAGTTATACCACGTTACCTATGTAGGTATAACGTTTACTCAATAATAGTAAAAATTATATTATGATGGTAAGAATTCCGGTAAATTATAAAATGTAATTCCAAATTTGATTAAGCAAGACTTTAAGTTTATTGTTAATTTAATATTGGTTTAAATTTTATATTTTGATTTAATTTGAAGATGTTTAATTTTTAATTTAAAAAAAATTACTACTATGTAATAAGTACTAACTGACATTTTAAATTATTTATAATAAAAATATATAATAAATAAATGCAATTTATGTTTCCTAGTTATTTATAACAATAATGTATTTATTAATTTATAACACATAGGTAAGTGATGTATCTAAGAAAATGTAATTTAAATATTAATTATTTTATTAGCAATATAATATATTAAAATATTATAATTTTGCTAATTTTAGTAACATTTTTAAAAGTTTGATAAATGATAATACTAAACCAAAGAAAAAAATAGTGTAAGTGTTATGTTGTATACAAAGATATTTTTTTTTTTATTCAACTTAAGCTCGGCGACTAAGGCCATTAGCTGTTGTAGGGTTTATAAACCTTGATAGGGGTAAGGTTGGTAGGTAGGTTGTTTTTACGGTTGTTACGGTAGGTAGCAAACACGTGTATGTGTGGCAAGGTTTTTAACTACTATGAACCCGGGTGGTCACCCATCCGGGAGCTAGTAGCTGTGACCGTTACTTACTCACAGTCACATTCCGCGACTGGTAGCAGAAAACGCGCCAAGCCTAGCCACACAAAGATATTGTAGTACACATATTTTGCATTAATAATTGCTGTTGGTAATTTATTTTTCATATACTACATAATACTATAGGTTCAACTAGTTTCATTGCAAAAAACAAACAGCATATATTATAATATGAAAACTATTATAATGTTATTTCATATAAATATATGATATAACTTAATACTAACGTAGTCCACGATACGGGACGTAGGTAAGTAAAGTATTAGCGATGTTATTATCTATAATAGGTTCATGCCGTTTATGATATAATAATAGATTAAATTAATCTATATAGCTTAAACTTCCTAGCCACTTATATTTGATTCTCAAATCCTACCTCGAAGATAGGTTCTTTTCCGTATGTGTAGGCTCTTCCTTTTCTTCTCCTACTGAAATAAAAGCAGGCGTACCACGAGGTGCAGTAATTGCCCTCCTGCTCTTCAATATCTACAACTCAGACCAGCCTATACTATACTTTAGTTGACGGCATTGCTGATGACAAAGCCATATTAACAACCAGCCAGATCCTTGCTTAGCCTCCTCTTACAGTCTTACATACAAGATCATCTCATCTCCTTTGAATCATGGCACAAAACATGGGGAGTAACATGAATGAAACCAAATCCATCCACGGAACCTTTGCACTTCGCCATGGAATATGCACAACAGTTTATCTCAATAAATAACCGCTTCCTCCTGCTCAGTGTATACGATACCTCGGCATCCTTATTGACCGTCGTCTCACCTGGAAACCTCACATAATTAGCAAAACCCACACACTTAATGATAGCTTCCGACTCCTTCGACCACTTCTAACTTCTAAGCACATGAAGGTCTCAAGGTTACACGTTCCTTCCAGGCCCATTTGGACTTTCACCTTGGGATCCAACTATGGGGCGCTGCCAAATCTTCCAATATCAACCACATTCAAAGATTCCAATCAAAAACCATACGTACAATTCTAAAAGCGACATTCTATGTCTCTAACCACACCCACCGTTCTGATCTCAAAATACCATTTGTCTCTGAACTAGCAAAAACCTACTACAAACGTTTCAATAGCGACCTAGCACACCATAAAAATCGCCTAATCTCAGATCTATCATTTACTTCTATCCCCGATTAAAAGACTCAAAAGACAGTGGTGTCGGGACCTGCTTAGCTTACCATGCAAAATTCTTTACTATGTCGTAATACCTTCACTGGGAGGCTTCTGCAATCTGTCTAATCTGCCTTTTAATTTTTTTTAATTTATTTTAGCTTATATTTATCATCAATTGTTCATATTGTTCTTTTTTTTTGTAACAGATCAAATAAAAAAACTTATGAACCAAAAAAAAAAAAAAAATTGAGTAATGTATACAGCAGTACATGGTATAGACGTATTTTTAAATCACTCTAAGTATAATATTTGATAAATCTTGCATTCAATTTTCAAACTTTTTGAACATAGGAGAAAATAGATTTTTAAAAAGATATACTCAATATCTAAAAAATAATAATTTTTACAAATAAATAGTTGGAGAAAAATTTAAGTCTCTATCACAGTCATTCGTATTTGAATTACAAAAATATCAATTTGGTCGAAAACAGGTTTGTCGTGTAAATTCCAGTTTTTTCGTTTATTTTTAAAAGTTTTGGAATCTAATTTTCTACAAAGAACCACCAGTATTGGAGATTAAAGGTTCATTACAATTTTAGTAGCTCAAATGATGAATTTTGATATACAACACAATTTATTAAATATGCATATAGTTGAAATATTATGTCAAACATTTAAATCTATAAAATTTACATTTATGAGAAAAATACCAATATTTTAATATATTTTAGTACCTATCATAATATTAAATTAGTATAATAAAATAAATATATGAATGATAGAAACTTAAATATTCAAAACCAAATATAATATTAATTTATATTATATATTATACCCTAACTAAATATCGATATATAATATTTTGTAGTTTATCGGAATGTATAATATTGTGTAATATAATATACATAAATACATATAAATATACAATACAATTTTTCATAATACATAATACACCATAAATACTTAGTATAGGTGTAGAAAATGATTCAATATTACCTATATTTATTTCATGGGATAGTATAATAATGAGAAAATTCATAAGAATAATAATATCTATATATATAGAAAATGGATGATGTCCCTTAGTTAGGTAATGACTCAAAAACTACTAGACCGTTTTCAATAAATAATTAATTATAGATTCCTTGAGACTTAGATTGTGTCTATGCCTTTCAACCCCTATAGGTAGCTAGAGGGTAGCTTACACATCAGTTTCTTTCAGCTCAAGAAAAAAGAAAATTGTTTTGTTTATTTAAATGGTTGCCACTGGTTACATTTATATTACTATTATAATTAGTAGAAATATTGTGGTATATTATACATATATTTTTTTACAGATATATATTTTTTTTAAACAAATCGTATGCAAGGGCAACGCCAGGTGGAAATTCTAGCTTAATATTTTAATATTTCACATTATATTATAGTTCTGATGACCTGATGGAGGTGTCTATAATTATAATGTAGTATATGACATATAATGACGGGTTTTCACAAGTACGTTCAATTAATTAAAATTTTTTTATTTAACAAAATACTACCCTACATGCAACATGATTTTTTATAAGACAGTGTAAATGCCTAATGTCTAAGAAAATGTTACATAATAATTATTATAATTATCTTTAAATCGCTTTAAATATAAAGTCAAAACGTAGGTAAGTATGAACTTTCAATTTAAGTTTCCCAGTTGGCAGTTAACAAAATATTTTAAATGATAATACATTATGTGTTAAAACTAAATATTATTATTTTTAATTTTCATGCAATGTTGCATACATACGTTAATTAAGTTCTTAGAGATTCGGGATAACTTGTTATAGGAACTTTGACGTTGTTTAATGTAACTGCGAGTATATATTGTTATAAATTAAGAGTTAGAGTATAATAATGGAGTGAACTTCTTACATTCCATGAGAAACTTTTTTGTGTATCAACTCTATTTGACTCATATAGTATTATGGTAATTCAAAAAGAGTACCACATTTTGAAAATCAAGATATCTGCAGAGAAGAAATGGGTTTTCAAATGTCTCCTTAACTATAGCCTAATATAGAAACAAACTGTAGAAATTAAAATCTAAGGAAGTCATTACGATTTCGGTCAATAAAGCTATTTATTTATATAGCCATGCAAACAGGTACCTATTTTATTTCAATTTTTCTTGGCTTAATTGTATTTTAAATAATCAATTTTAAAAATAATTATTGTATCAATTGTATTAATTATATTCATTAAAATCATTAATCATTTTATGCATTTGTTATATTGTATTTAACATAACACACGAATGCACCATATTACAAAATATAAAAAATAAACGATGTTGTCGTTAGAAGTGTGTAACATAGTAAATTTTACTCTCAGCAGATCAAGTTTTTTTTACATCTTAAAACATTCACAACTCGCTTTAAAATTAAAATATAATAAAAAGCTTATGAAATTGACTAAGTATGTAATATTATGTACATAGTATTATATATAATGTAAACATAATCTTACCTTAAAATTGTATAAGAAGTCAATTCACTCTTATTTTTAAGCTAACTGAGTTAAAACGGTTAAAAGTGATCTGCTGAGAGTAATATTTGGTATGATACCCATTTGTCAGACGGGAACAACACATGCGGACATAACGTCCTCTTAATGATATACATTTTACATTTTTCATTACCTATCTATTTAACAATTATTGTTTTCATTTGATCATTATTCAGCTTGAACAACCGTAGTTATTAGCTATAAATAATTATTATTTATAGCCTATTTACATGATTTTTGTTCTTATCTAAATTATAAAATAAATTTAATATACTATGTGATTCCCTAAGCATGCTAGCCCTGATGGACACTTGACAAATATATGTGTACTTACTTAATACTTCCATATAATTTTAATTTTAATTTATAATGAATATTGATTATATTATATTAAAAAAGCTTAACTTAATAGGCCCACCTTTTCAAATTCTTGAGCACGTGTCTGCTAGCCCTCAATTTTTCCTTTAATAACAAATTTATTCAAATTTGATTTTTGGAATTTTTTATATGGTTCCTCAAAGACCATCTTTCAAATTCTTCAATTTTTTATACTCCTTAACTCTTTGACTAGTGTCCTGTGGCTATAAAAACTTCTGTTTTCCAAATGAGAACCTCCTTTAAACTATAAATGTTTTAGCACCAACATAATTTTTTTGAACATTTTGATGTACCTAATTCGAAATATAAATTGATATAATATGTCTAATTTCTTCTTGTTATGCAAGTCCTAGAATTGAGTTGCTTAGGTATATTATTCTCGTATTGTTTTTTATCATATTGACGACACAGTATTCTGC